TATCATATTCCCCTCCCTTTCTAATGGTGTTCATCCTCCTGTTATTTTTTTTTTGTTTCAAAAATTATCGACCCTGGTCTAGTACTGCCAGAGTTGCCAACTGTAGCGGAATTCCGCTACTGTGGCGTAATTTATTCGACGGTAGCGGCGTAGCGGATTTGAACATAAAGTAGAATTTTCTACAAATAATTAATATTGAAAATAAATGTAAGAAGAGGCAGTGGACAGCACTCGAAGCTGACAGCTGACACTTGAATAATTGAATGCACAGTCAATACGTTATAGTCTCAGTAGCTGAGGCCAATACATGATGATAGAGAAGAATATTTTTGGATATATTCATTCATATCATCACAGCATAATTGTTAACTATGGTGTGATATCATGAACCATGTAACCTCCAATATCTTGAAACTTAAAGTCTCGACTGTCTCGAGTATTATAAATTATATGGAACGAATTACAGTGGAAATGGAAGATAGTTCAACTGATTGTATGTAGCTTGAGCGAAAGAGCTACCTCAGTTGAAATTGACGAAAACGAGACATGTTCAAAAAAATACTAAAAGTCTCACAAACAAACTTTTTCTCAACATTGGTTGTTTGATTCCTACTTGAAAGGATGGATTAAATCTGCCGCGAATGATCGTTCAAGAGATCAGTGTGACTATACGTACGTGAACGAATTGATATTTATTTTTACTTTTCAAAATCATTATTTCAAGCTAAGAAATATTTGGTCGAGACGACAGCTTTCAAAAATTAACTGCTGTAAATTTAGAAAATTAGGTATCATCTACTGAGTTGCGCGATTGAAAATTAGCATGATCCTGATTCCTGATACTAGCGACAGTTCAGTTTTGTGATATCTGACCGGCATACAAACTACAAACTGTAAGTTCTGTGGTGTGACTGATTCTGTCAGATACACAAGCGTAGCGGACACAGAACTTAAAAGAGGAGAACGGAAAAATAATACATTTTATGATTATGTAAACGTTCCTATAAGGGGAAATGACTTGCAGTAGGAGAGTCTGCGCATTGGCTACAAACGTTGACATTGTTGACAAATGACAGGTTTAGAAAGTCGTTTTTGTAAATGCATTGTACCGATTTCACGTGATTTTTTCATTNCCCCATCCGTTTATTCTCTTATGCTTTTGAAATTTTGAGGTAGATAGTTGAATCACAGCACCAACGTTTCATTTGATGTTGGTAGGACAAACTTCATTGGTTTCATTCAAATGGAAAACAAGCAATTTTTTGACAACTTTCACTGACGTGGGTCCACTATTCTGATTTCTTAAAAAGATTATTTCTAAAAGTTAGGGTTATTTTAAAAATTAGTTGTTTTTTAATGATCCTTTCAAGGTATAAGGAAGCGAGTCCTCCCCAACCTATTATACTATAGATTCCAAAAGACCTTTTTCTAATTTAGCATGGCTAGATTGAGAGAGCTCCCCTATAAAACAAAAAATAGCAAAAGTACAAATATTGTGTCAATTTTATTTTCGGATTTTTCAAAGTGGGCTGCAAATAATCTGAAACCATCTCCGAAAACGCGTTATGCGCATGCGTTCCTACTGCTTAATTTTCTCCTTGTAGGAACACTATCACAGAACGCTATTTCCGTTCTCCTCTATGTTTAAGTTCTGTGGTAGCGGAATATGAAGTATTGTAGCGGAATTTTGGTTCATGTGTAGCGACTTTATAATTCATCATGTTGGCAACACTGAGTACTGCATTCAAATCATTTACTCTCAAAACGAATGGAATAAATGAATATACAAAATTTTTTCTTGAAAAATCTCATTCATAACAAACAAAATAACATCAACTATATACTACAAGTGTGAAAATATGTCCAGTAGTAACCAAGACATTTTCCAACAAATAAGTATTTAGTTGAAGGGGATTGAGAAAACATGTTTTTTTGAAGAAGTTATAAATATATATTCCTTTGAATTATATCGTCAACAGATACACTGCACCCATCAATAGGACCGACTTGGCTTTTTTCATAGGACGAAAATATTACATTATTTTCTGTTGGCCATGGTAGGGGGTCATGGCCATGGTAGGGGGTCATGGCCATGGTAGAGGGGGTAGTCTTAGTGATAAGCTCTGTTACGTCAGCAACGCAAAGTACAAAAATCGCATCTAGAAAATGCCAAAATTAGGTACTTTTTAGGTACCGAAGTCAAAAATTAGGTGCTCTGTAACATACACCGTAACTCAATACTCAAAGTTGCGTTGCTAGCATTATGTGATGCTAGCAACGCAATGAAAATAATAATGAAATAATGAATGTTGAGGGAACACTATTAGGTGCTAATTGAGTGCTAAACGGCGAGGATCGTAAAATGTTCTAGTTAATAAACAAAAGCTTCCAATTTCGCTAAACAACAGATCTAAGAATCAGGCCTCTCGAAAACGAGGACGAATGCTCTATCAGGTATAAACTAAGCGTGGTAATGAAGTGCTAATTAGGTGCTTGCAAGAAATTAAAATGAAAACGACCGCGAATAAGCGAAAAAAAAATATCAGACACCTGATTTGAGAAAAAAAAATTAACAATATGCAATAAAGTCTTGAGATGTAAACTAATACATAGACAACCAAAATAAAGTGCTAACTAAGTGCTCACTAGATATTCATAGTAAAACTAGATTCTTCAATGCCTATGGGGCTCATGGACCTGAAAACCACCATGGCTGATGTACTGAGTTTTTATAGTATGTTATTTAATGAATAAGGGCAAGAAATTAAAGTGCTAATTAGGTGCTCACTATGACTGATGGACTGAGTTCTTGCAGTACGTTCCTCGATAAGTAAGGGTATGAGAATAAAGTGCTAATTAGGTGTATTAGATATTTGTAGTAAATCTAGATTCCATAATTCATATGGGGCTTATGGACCCGATAACCACCATGGACACGATGTCCAGCATTTAAAAAAATGTTTAAAATATGTTTTTCCGTTAACCAGCTATCACACCCCTACGAACGACAACCCTCAGAAATCGAAACTTGTGCGAGCTAAGAACTAACGAGGTCTTACCTTTTAACGTGTGATTCCTATAGCAAGTGAAAATGAAGCGTTCAGCCTGGGGCTTGAACCATCGACTCACACATCGACCGATTGACTGAGTGAACAAAGCATACACGTCGAACCGCCCGACTACGGACCGACCGGTCGGTATCTGACTATGATAAACTGAAAAACACAATTGAAAATATAAATTGAATAACAGTTTTGTCTGAAACTGAGAACCCAGATAAAGCGTATTCGAATTTCATACAGTTGCTATCAGATTCCATAACAAACAGTACTACAATGAGTAAAATTAATATAAACTCGAAGAATCGTAAGCTGAAACCATGGATAACGCGCTCATTAGTGAAAAGTATCAGAAAAAGGGATAATATGGCTGAAAAAATGAAAAGACATCCTGAGAACTTACAGTTAAGAAGAGAATACCGAATCTATAGAAACACACTCACTGATCTCATAAGGTGTCAAAAAAATTTGTTCTATAAAGAAATGTTGGATAATGCTAAAGGTAACATAAAAGAAACGTGGAAAATAATAAAAAATTGTACAGGAGGTGGTATTTCGGCTAAAGAAAAAATTAACTTAAAAATCGGTAATGAGTATTCGGATAATGGGGTTGAAATAGCTAATAAATTCAATGATTTTTTCAGCGAAGTTGGGGAAACACTCGCAAATAAGATAGTGGATGATCCATCATTTGTAGAAACCCCAATTCCCACCAATGAGTCTTCACTATTCCTTAAACCAATAACCAATGT